TACTGGAATATTATGTGTGTATTTCTCAGGGAAGCTGGTGTTGAGGGTAGAGGGAAGGCAGATTGCTAACTTTTCCTTTATGAAATCTGTATTGCTTATATTGTTATGTGCATACATTAATTTTTTTGGTATGCATCCCTCTTACCGTATAAAATACAATAAACACAGTGTAATTGTAACTCAAGCCCCACGAGGCCTTCTGGTAGCTATGGAAGGCATAATGGAGGAAGCAGGTTTGAGAAAAGTCTTGAAGCAGCTAGACACTCCAGCTCAGCCATTCTCAACCTGTGGGTCGTGACCCCTTTGGGGGTCAAACAACCCTTTCACAGGGGTCGCCTAAGACCATCCTGCATATGAGATATTTATATTACGATTCATAACAGTAGCAAAATTACAGTTATAAAGTAGCAATGAAAATAATTTTATGGTTGGGGGTCACCACAACATGAGGAACTGTATTAAAGGGTCACAGCATTAGGAAGGTTGAGAACCATTGCTCTAGCTGCTAGTGGAATAGTCTGGACTAACAGCTGTTAGGCATGGCCAAGTCTAAGAGCTGCGGCACCTGACTGTTTCCTTCCCTTAATGAAGTGAGGTCACACTCGTGTCTTCCCAAAGCCTACAAGGACATCGCATGCTGGCCACTTGGTGGCGTGGCAGAGTGTGGTGGAAGATGTCTGTGTCTCCTGCAGCTAGGGCTACTCCTGCCCTCAGCTAAGCGGGCTGCAAAGACATGTCGCAGTGGCACCTGGCCTAGTTCAACCCACCTGCTACAGATCTGCCTGGATTTCCTCTGAGGGGGCAGGCTAGAGTGAACTTACCCACGAGAAAATGCACTCTTGGCCAAGGTCACACCAAACAGATGGTAATACTGTCCTGCTGGGCGAGCTGACTCAGTCTTCACTGGCACTCTAAATGTCCCTTCTCCCCTCAGAGGGAAGCCCACCCCCTGGCTGAAGTGGCCTGGGCACCTCCTACTTTGCTAGTGCCTGTCACCCTAGCTCCTTCCTCAGGCCTGCTGGCTGACCCCTCTGTCTTAGAACCAGCCTGGCCTTAAGCCCAGGAATGCACTGGCCCACACACCTGCATTTTTTGGTCACCCACTCACCTGCCACCTGCCTCTTCAGGGATTCCAGGTATCAAAGTTTCAGGCACCAAGGCCTACAGGAGAGGGGCTATTTTCAATCTAGTTCCTAGGAGTGAGCCTGGGGCGAGGGGGCCCCAGAACATGGCTTCTGGGGAAGCTTCTGTTCAGTATGACTCGGGAGTGTCCCCAGCTACTGTGTTCATCAGGGCTAGACCAAGGCTCGGCTCTCCTGGCCTGGATAGGGCAGCCAAGTAGTCCCAAGGGAAAGGAGGCCGGTGCAGCACACCTCTCCACTCTTCCTAAGCAGTGCCACTCCGGGGCCCCTCCACGGTGAATGTGACTCAGTGGAATCGGCAGAAAAGCAAAGCTTTCAAGACCCCCATGGCTCTGGGTGTGAATTCCAGCTTTACCATTCCTAGGAAATACATTTCCCTTCTATCTGTGAGTTCTCATGTGTAAAATGGGCACATACAACCTACTCCATGGGTTTATCAGGAGAATTAAACAAAATAACGTAAGTAAAACACAGCATGTCATTGCTATGTTCTGTACCTCCTTCTTCATAACCGGGTGGCCACCAGTGCTTCCATAAGAAAGAAAAAGAAGTAAAAATGACTCTTTCCTTTGACTGTTTAGTTAATCCTCAGAGCATCCCTACTCATCTGAGTTAGTTCTTACTTTACGGGTGATGAGCTGAGGCCCTCAGAGTCTGGGTGGCCCCTCTGTAGTTACATAGCTTGTCTGCAAGAAGTCTGGGTTGGAACTCTCCCAATGAGAAGGGGGCTATGCTTTGCTGAGCACACACGAGGTGCCAGGCTCACCCCACAGAAGTCAATGCTCACAGTAGCCTTATGTGTTAGGAGGCATCGTCACCCCCATTTTATAGATAATGAAACTAAGTGAGAGAGAAGCCAGCTGGCTCGTCCAAGGCCACACGGGTGACAAACAGCTGAGCTAGCAAGCCAGGACTGTTTGACTTCAGAACTCTGCAGACTGACCTCTGGATGCCACCAGACCCTGGCCTGGGGTCATAGGCCTTGATGCAAGGTTCTGGCTGTTCTGTGCCTGGCTCAGTTCCCCTCCCCACCCACAACTTGACCCTCAGGGATGGGGTGGACGTAAAGCCAGAGCCTGGGACTGGAGGCCACTCTACATGAGCCCTGCCTCCTGGGGGTGTCTAGGGGGATGAACCCAATCTTGGCACAGACCCAAGGTCCTCCTGATGAGAAGCGGCACCAGAACCAGTGGGATCAGGACCCAAGGGCATCACGCATGTGGGCCAGTTCTGGCTCTAACTGGGAAGTTTGAGGGCTTGTCTGCTGCTTTTCCTCAGCCCCTCAGTGCTCACTGCTTCCCTCTCTGCTTTGGCCTGGATGTGTCACTTAGCTTCTCTGAGCCTGAATTTCCTCATCTATAAAATGGGAATGACAATTCCTAAGTCCTAGGGTTATAGTGAGGATTAATGAGGTAGTAGCTGTAAATAGCCTGGCACAGCACATAGCAACACGCACAAACATTACTGCCCCTCCCTCCTCTCTCAGGCCCTCGGTGCTCTCCACTCCCCGCAGCCTCCTTCCAACAACAGCCAAGGAGAAGCTGTATCTGTCCCTTGTCCCGAAGGAAGTGGTGTGGGATTGGGGAAAAGGCACAGGACCAGGAATCAGGCAAGTTCCAGCTCTGCCACCCACTAGCCTATCTTGAGAACCTCTCTGGACCTCGGTTTCCTCAAATATCAAGTAGGGTGGACAATGCTTTCCCAGCTCCCACCTCACAGGACCAAATGAGATGGCGTTACAAAAGAACACTGTAACCTGCACAGTGCTATGCAAAGGTCAAGGGTGAGTAATGATAGTAGCATAAATACAAATAGCAGCCACCACAACATGCCGGGCCCATGCAAAGCACGGTAAATGTATTTTCCCACTTAATTTTCATAAGCCGGAGGAGGCATGGTTCCCATCGGACTGCCAAGAAAACAAGCCCACAAAGGTTATGGGATTGACCCAAGACCTCACAGTGAGTGGCAGAGTCAGGGTTTGAACCCAGATCCTGGTGACTCTAAAGCAGAAGAGCTGGCTCCCCTTGTCATACTACCTGGACTATTCCCCTGCTAGGCTGGCAGGCCCTGCCAAGCCCACAGCTGAGTCTCTAGGCACTAGGGAAGGGACATCCCTGAGTTCCAGTCTTGTAACTATAGACATATTTGCTTTTTAAGCTTCTAGGTCTGAATTGAAAGCACCTTTCAAAACCACCTCTAGTGGCATAAGGCAGGCATGGGGACATCTCAGGCTTGGGCCTTGCTGCTTCTGGCATAGTGAGATCCTTCCACGCCACCTCCATATATACGCCCCTGCTCTGATCTCCAAGGAGACAGAGAGAGGCTGCTGCTCTGGGTGCTGCCAAGGGGTCCTACCAGAAGCTGCTGGGGGCCAAGGAGAAACGGTGGGTGCGTTTTTACCCAGCAGCAGCCACGCCCCCTGGGGCCGGATGGGAAGGAGAAGAAAGGACTCCTTAATCTGGTTTATTTCTACTGTCAGCTAAAAGACGCAGTTGCCTTAAATTAATAATTGTCAAATCAGAATCATTTCCCACTACAGAAGAAGGTATCTGTCCCTTTGAGAAGATTTGCCCCCTTTGGGGAATCTTCCTCTATTTTATCTACTTTGAGGGTTTTTATAAAACTTAAGTATTTGTCTAATCTAAGTTCTGTCACTGGTGGATAAATTGACTGGCTTTTCATTTATCCCCCCAGTATTTAGGGCCCCAGGAGGGTGCAGGGATCGGTGGGTCAGCAGGAGAGGGAGAAGGCCAGGGTTGTGGCTGCCGAGGAGGTTAGGTCGGGAGCTCGGGGTACAGTGCAGGTGTTATGATTTTACTTGGAGGCGGAACTCCATGGGCAAATAGGAACTCAACAAATATTAACCAGAGATATAGCTGTAAACAAGACAGATATGGGATTCTAATCTTAGGATAAAACCATCAACACTGAGGTCAATTAGAGGTGCTGGAGGCCGAACAAGGGGCAAAGAGAACTTTGGCCAGATGGCTTATCATGAGAGCCTGATTACCATGAGGCCAAGGCAGATTCCTTACATGGAATAACTAACTCTGATAAGCTGTTGTTATAACTTTCATCAGATCACAGCCTTTGATCCCTTTTGCTCACAACTTTCAAAACTCACAGTCAACATTAGTCAAAACTAAGCCACATTGGAAGCCACAGAAGTAATGACTGTGGCTGTCCGTTCTTGTGCCCTTCCTCTGTGACACACACACCATGCTAATGCTTACGTGTGCTCTTTAGTTCTCAAAACTCTGCAATTTAATTACAAAGCAAAATAATTACTGAGTACTTTTTTTTTTTAGAGACAGAGTCTTACTTTATTACCCTTGGTAGAGTGCCGTGGCATCACACTGCTCATAGCAACCTCCAACTCCTGGGCTTAGGCGATTCTCTTGCCTCAGCCTCCCGAGTAGCTGGGACTACAGACACTCACAACAATGACCAGCTATTTTTTGTTACAGTTTGGCCGGGGCTATGTTTGAACATGACACCCTCAGTATATGGGGCCGGCGTCCTACCCACTGAGCCATAGGCACTGCCCATTACTGAGTATCTTTGAGGCTCTTTGCAGAGCACGGTGTGTGTGGGAAGGATGGGGCATATAAAATGGGACTATTAGTCCCATTTTACAGATGAAGAAACTGAGGCTCAGACATATGTGACTTACTTAGGCTTGTGAGTGAATTACAAGGAGTGACAGGGCAGACTTTCTAACTGAGCTTTGTTGCCTCCAGAGTCTATGGTCTTCCCACTCTGCTGAGCTCCTCCTCTAACCAGGCATGGCTGGGATGGGCCAGCTGACAGCTCCCCACTGCAGCCCCTTCATTGGCCTCCCTGCCAGGTGCTTACCAAGGAGGCGCTTGATGATGGCTTGGTTGTGTTCCCAGAGGTTGCTGAAGGTCCCCCAGCGTGAGTGGCCGTCCGGCACAGGGTTGGCCTTGATCCAGCCGCCACAGGCATAGCTAAAGAAGTCTTGGCAAGGGTCTACTGTGGGGTCCATGGAGCTCAAGATGGAGCTGGTCACTGAGACACAGGCCTCGCTCAGGCACACTGAGGGGGTTCCTAGAGGGACAAAGGAGAGGAAGACAGTGAAAGGTGGGCAGGAAAGAGGCTATGGAAGGCAGAGCAGGTGGCCTGGGGCTCCGGGTTAGCAGGTCCCACCCCAGTCCTGACCAAGCAGATTTACAATCTCCTAGTTTTCAAATGAGACTTCAGTGTAGCTGCCTAACCAAGATGTTTCTCTTGATCAATCTTTCCTTCTGCAAATGTTCATTGACTTTTTACTATTCCCCGATGCTCAACAAACGTATTCATTCACTCGAGCATTCATTTATTCAGCAAAATAATTACTGAGTATCTTTCAGGCTCTTTGCCGAGCACGGTGTGTGTGGGAAGATGGGGCATGTAAAAGGCACAAGGCACAATCCTTTCTTTCTTTCTTTTTTTTTTTTTGGTTGCAGTTGCCATTGTTGTCTAGCTGGCCTGGGCCGGGTTTGAACCCACCAGCCTCGGTGTACGTGGTCGATGCTGTAACCACTGTGCTATGGGCTCCGAGCCAATCCCTTCTTTCAAGAGCCAACAATTCAATTGGGGATACACACATAACCTAAGAAAAGTCACAAGACAACAAGAGGAAAAATAGCTGTCCTTCATTCTGCAAAAACAGGCTGACCATTTACTATGCACTACACAGGCGATGCAGACAGCCCGGTATCAGGATGCAGGAAGAAGGAAAGACCACTAGGAATGGGAGGAGGGAACTGCGGACAAATATTTATCCTGAGTACAAGGCAGGAGAGAGTGAGTTACTTCCTTGAATCTTCAAAAAATCCAAAAACTAAACAACCCTGAGAAACTGGTTTGCCAGAGGCAAGAGAAGGGGGTCAGACCCTTGTCTCAAGGCTGGTGGTGGGCTTGAGCAGGCGAACTAGACTTGGGCAGCCTCCGTGTTGGCTCAGCCCAAGGTGGCAAAGCAAAGCTGACGAGGATCAAAGGCCCAGCCAAATCTCTGTTGACACAAGCTGTGCTGGTGACAATGGGGAATGTTTGCTGAACGTGGCTCCACACACATTCGTGATCTCATTTAATGCTCACTACAAGCATCAGATGCACGTGTGATGTCCCTGTTTAAAGACAAGGAGACTGAGGAGAGTGAGAGGAACAAGGGTGCATGGGGTGCGGTGGTGGAGGACGCTGACAGCTGAGCCCAAGAGCAAGGCCAAGACTGAGTTTTTTCTGACTTCCCTTCCCACCTCTTTGCCAGGTCTGGTGCGGCCCGACTGGTGAGATGGGTTTCCCCACCACACACGGAGGCAGCGTTGGAGGCTGTTAGACCTGAGTTTTAATCTCCGCTTTCTGTTCCTGCCTGTGGGGCTTTGTGCAACTGATCTCATCTCTTTTAGCCTCGGTTTCTCTATTTAGAAATTAGGAAGAACAGCAGGACCAATTTCACAGAGAAGGTGACAAGCTTTCATGGCCGGGCATGAGGGCTCAAGCATCCTCATGTCTGAGTGTCTGATGCTCCAGGCCAATCTTTAGAGAGCAGAGAAAGATGCCCAAGCTAGCAGGGGTGGTCCCCACCTCAATCAGAAACAACAATGCTGGCCGAGCAGGGTGGTCCTGAGAGGTTCACTTGTGGGTTTATTAACATCCAACAACCTTCAGGCACCACAGCAGGAAACTCAGGGTGACTCTATGTTGAGATAATTATACAACAATTAAAAATTATGGAGTCATTATACATGAATATAAAGAAAAGAAATAGTAGGGGTGATGATGCCATTTTAAATGTCTTAAATATCTCTAAATCCGATCACCTTAATCAGAGCTATAGCCCTGCCCAACTCAGGGAGTGTTCCAGAGTCTTTATGGGGGGTTGGGAGGAGAGAGAATTTCTGTGTAGGTTGAAAAAGTTTGGTTCATTCTTATGACATAACTCCATATTTGGGAAAGAAAAAGAATACCTATTGTTTTTATACATCAAACCACAGGAAGTAAAACTCAACAAAATCTTGGCTGGTAGAAATACTCACAGACTGAGAAGGAGGGAGTTGAAGGGAGGGAGAAAGATCAGAGTATGTGTGTGAAAGAGAGACAGAGAGATATTGATGACCTAATTAAGGTTTTTGTAGTTAATGTAAGGGGACTTGGGTTTAAAAACAAAATAAGAAACCAGTTCCCAGAAGTCAGCCTCTGAGGTCTGAATTCCTCACCAAGCACCCGCTCTGCCAGACAGAATAGTACCTAGGCAGTGCTTAAGCAATGATTGCTTGACTTTTTAACTATTTAATAGTTTGTGGAAACTCTGCCAAATATTCCTGGCCTAGCAGGTACTTAATGCATTTTCTATTAATTAATGGTTCCCAGGCCCCCCTCATCTAAGGCTCCAGCTCTGTAGGGAAACCTTCCCAGACCCTCTGCTCTTTCTGGGCCCCTCCGCTGCCTGAGGGCCTGTTATCCTAGCACAGACCGTGCCCTGTCAAGCTGTCTCCATGCCTGCCTCTCCCACTAGGATGTGCGCTTGAGGATATGGCTAGTATCTTACTCGTTTTTAACCTTTCCTTTCTGTAGCACTGTACTTAGCAATGAGCAGCTATTCAATGCACATTTTTTTGGTGCATCGATGATCGAATGAATGAATGAAAGAGCTTTGTCCAGCACATGGTCACCACCTGCAGAGGTAGCAAATATTTCTTCCTTTAGGACACACAGGATCAGCTGAGAAGGCAGGTCCCAGATCCAATTCACAGATGCTCATGTGGACAGTTCCTGGCCGCAGCACCACATAAAACACTTTAAAATATTTTCTGGGAAAATTTATTATTTGTTTTGCTGCTGCTATTTACAAAAGCACCTGCGTGTTTCTGGAAAGGAGGGTGCAGCAGGAAAGCAGACAAAAATACTCTCAAGTATGAAGTGTATTTTTAACCATTAGAGGTCGGTCTTTCAGGATCATCAGAAGATTTGCTTTGACCGGCCTGATGTGTGCTCAGACGTGGACAGCCCCTGCTGCTGAGTAATGAAGTCACTGTCAGTATCTGGGTGGCCACTGCCCAGGGGTCACTTAATCCTCAATTAGCTCCACCCCAGGGAAAGAAGAATGTTCTCCTCCTACGTCCTGGCTAGAGGAAACCTTTCTGGGACCCTTCAAGGCAGGAACAGGAAGCAGAATCCCTTCCTAGAGGCCCCACATCAGTGATAACAGCAGAAATGTTGTCTGATCACTGAGAGCTGTCCCTTGGGTTTCTGATGAATAAACACCTTGGGAACTCCTGGGGACAGTCTCAGGACGATACTGGCTGCTGCAGTCTGGCCTGCTCGGCCTGTTCCCCCTGCCCCGGGCCGAGAGTCGGGCAGACGAGGCTGGCCAGGACTCAGACTGACCGGCAGAGTGATCTGAACTGGAGCTGAAGTAGGATGCGTCAAGATGGCAGCAGAAGGATGAGGCTGATCAGTTTATGTCCCACTGGTAGAGCAGGCACACACGCACACACACACACATCTATACCACCCCACACTTATACACGCTCAGTAGAGAAAGGCTGTTTCCACCCGATTCTCCTTACCCCTTTGTTCATTTAATCGTTGATTTATTCATTTAGCTATCTGCGCATAGGCATGCAGGTAGTCTGCTAAGCACATCTGGTTAAGGGTCTAGAAACTAGTGATTAACTAATCAATTATGTATTAAGTACCTGCTGGGCCAGGCACATTTGGTAAAACACCTATAAACCAGTAAATGGTCAAATAATCAAGCAATCATTAAATAATCAAGCAATTCTTAAGTACTATCTACATTTGTAGAATGAATGAATTGCCCATGTGCCCAATGCAGCAGGGATGGGAGGGTGAGTCACATAAAGTCTCTGCTTTCTCTCTAGACCCCTACATGCCCTCCCCATCCCAGTGCAGCCCAGCCACCCTCACAGGCAGCAACTTCATAGCAGAGGAGGATAAAGACTGCATGGAGTGGAACTTCCCACAGCCTATGAAAGTTCAAGGTCTCTCTGATGGGGTAAGTAACTGAGTCAGTGGCTGGGACCCTGAGCAAAACCCTCAGAAGGCTGCTCAACTGGGTGGACCATCTGCCTTCAGAATGCCAGATGCTGGGGCACAGGGAGTGAGAGACCCTCGAACTGGTCGGACTCCCCTTCTTTGTTTCTAACTTGGATCTGCTCTTTCCAGTTCCCTAAGCGCTTCGTGGGCTTTGACTCTGGACCCAGAGGACCAGCCTCAGACCTGACAGCAGGATCATATCACCGCAGGCGGTGGGACAGATAAACATTCACAGAGGTACACAAAGGGCAACTGGATCATGGGAGGGCAGCCTCTGGGGGGACTCTGATACACTCCAGACCACACTGTGATCACAAAGGGAGGCAGAGCCTGGGCTTAGAACCCAGCAGTCCCTGGGAGAATCCTAGCTCCCCTACCCCAACCCCCTGCTCGGTCTCCTGCTAGCCACAGGAACAGTCTCAGTGCCTCAGTTTCCTAATATGGAAAAGGGGCCCAAAGTAACCACACCTAGAACTGCCATGAAGAGGACGTGAGCTCACATCTGTAAAGGAGAGGCGTGGTATTTTGTCCATGGAAAGCATTCCAGAAACAGAGGCCACTGTTGCTATTTGATTGGAACAAGAGATGGCAGATAGTGGCAGTCTGGGTGTCTAACCGGCCCACATCCTAGCAACAATAGTACCCAAAGCTGAAGCTGAGGAAGTCTCTGGAGCACCTGGATGTGACACACATCATCTCTAACCCTCAGAGCCCATCTCTAGATTAGGCACTATTTCTCCACTTAAAGTAGAGAAGACACAGGCTCTGGGAGATATAGGGGCTTGTCCACAGTCACACAGCTGGAAAGGTGCTAGGGGAGGATGTGAACTCCAGTCCTCTAACTCTAAAACCTTCCTACCCTTTGTGGCGCCTGCTTCCCAGACTTCGGTCCACCTCAGTACCCTGAGCCCTCTGGGCTTAGCTCCCTCCCAAGACTTGGAACAGGGAAGCTTCCCGTGTCTATGTATATGGAGTCCAAGACAGGAATGAGGCAAACCCACCACACAACATAGAGACACCTACTTGTCCGGTACTGGATGCCCAGCGCTGCCAAGCAGGCCACCAGTCCTGCCACCAGAAGCGCCACCAACACTACCAGCCGCTTCTCCACTTGGGTCCTCTCAGTCCAGCACCTCTGGCTGCTCCGGGGGCTGCGAAAGTTCACCTGCAGGGAAGAAGGCAGGAGGGGCGGGAAAGACCTGAGCCCAGGGTACCCCCTCCCCAGGAGGAAGGGGCTCCGCTGCAGGCCCAGGCCCGGGGGAGGCATCAGGGCTGCCGCCGCCCTGTCTCAGGGGTGGTCTGCTTCCCACAGAATCAGCCCTAATCCAGGAAAGGAAGCGCCACCCTGCTTAGCCGCTCAAATTTGCTTGTCAGAGTCAAGCAGCTTAACCCAGACAAATTGTGTTTTTTGTGTCACCTGATACGGGTGGAAAGAAAAAACTACAGTTCTTCCCTGTTTCTCCAGTAAGGAGTTCAAAAAAGAACAGGATGTTTGGCCTTGCAGACATCCAGTGAGCATCCAGCTGGGCTCTCCTCAGAGGCTCAGCACCAGCGGGATGAGGTGACACAATCACCCAGCACTTCCCAAAAGCACAGAGATGCCTATCTCATATCATATTAAGCCTTTGAGATACCACATGAGCTGCTTATTACTTCTCTTTGTACAAACAAGGAAACTGAGGTCCAAGGAGGCGGGACCAGGCCTCTCATTACACCGCCACACGGGTGGGCTGAGACCGGACCACTGTTGATGGGAGAGCCCACCAGCAAGCAGAGTTGGGTTTTGAGAGATGTTGGGGGAGATGCAAGGAAGAATAGATCCATTCAGGCAGGTCCTCAAAGGGAGGAAAAATGTCCCCAGCCTAACAGTCTCGCTAAACAGGAAGGCAGGCACAATAAGAGGAAGGGGAGGGTGTGGCCGGGCCCTCCAGGCTCGAGGAGAGACACCCCAGCCAAACAGCACTCAGAGCCCTCAGCCCACACCCCTCACACCCAGGGCCAGCTTGGAGCTCCCCTCTGTTCCAAGAGGTGCTTCCTGCCAAAGCCAGGGCCACAGGACAGGAATGTTTTCCTGAATGTGGGGTTCAGTTCAGTGACATTGCAGCTGTATATCAACAGGTGAGCACCACCAACTCAAAGGTGTGTGTGGAATACACAGCTCAGCAGGGAGGCAGATAAAGGCAGATAAAGAATCAGACTTGGGTGGGCAGGGGTTCAGTCAAGGAAGGCTTCCTGGAGGTGGTGATACCTGGTCTGGGTCTTGAAGAGTAAGTAGGAGCTAGCCAAGTGACTGGGGAAAGGAAGGGGGAAGGTGGGCAAAGTTTAGATCCTCATGGCCTTGACTAGCAGCCAAGTTAAAGAACTTGTACTTTCTTCCGAGGGCTGGAGCAACATGATTAGACCTGCTTTTTGAGAAGGATAAGCTGGAAGACAACAGCTTGGCAGGGACTGGGCATGGAAGCAGAGACTCCTAAGGGGGCCCACAAAGCTTACCATGGAGAAGGGGAGCTACCAGGGGAGGTGTGGAGACCCTGACTCTGGCCGGCAGGTGCCTGACCAACAGCTGAAGGGTGGCTGTCCCAGAGCCAGGCCTGGGCCTGGAGGGAGTCCCATACACTGGCACTCGGGGAGCCGAGGGGGATCACCTTAAGGAAGGGCACTGAGAATACCTAGTGTGGCCATTGGGAGGTATTTTCTGGGCAGTAAGTGACTTAGAAATTGCTGCACTAGAGAGGGGAAACAGGAGAACATTTTATGGAAGAAAAATTGTGTCCTAAAAACTGAGAAGAGGGGCTGGCTGTGGTGGCAGCTGCTGGTAGTGTCATCTACTTGGGAGGCTGAGGCAGGGGGATCGCTGCAGGTCAAGAGTTGAGTCCATCCATCCTGGGCAACACAGTTAAGATATCATCTCTAGGGAGGGGGGAGGGAAAGGGGATGGGGATTGGAGGGATCACTTCTGAGGTTTATCTTACAGGGGTACAAGTGAATCTTTCTAAGAGTAGAATGTGAACGTTTTAAAACAATAACTGAGAAAAATGACATGAAGGCTGTGTTGACCAGTTTGATGGAAGTATTTCGGATTGCATGTGAAAACCTCACACTGTACCCCAGAAGTGCATTAATGTACATAGTTACCATTCAATAAAAAAAAAAGATACCATCTCTAAAATATATATGTGTATATATATATCAATTTTTAAAAGAATTAAATATATTCATGCATAATTTAAAACCAAGAAAAGGAACTTGAGGCTTGGTGACACTTCTGTAGAGGTCCAGGAGGGTCAGACAAGGAAGCAGCTAGGCCAGTGTCAGCAGATTATCACCTGCTGAAACCTCTTAAGACTTTATCTCTCTCTCTCCTTTTTTTTTTTTTTGTCACCCTCAGTAGAGTGCCATGGCATCACAACTCACAGCAACCTCAAACTCTTGGGCTTAAGCGATTTTCTTGCCTCTGCCTCCCAAGTAGCTGGGACTACAGGTGCCCACCACAACACCTGGCTATTTTTTTGTTGTAGTTGTCATTGTTGTTTGGCAGGCCCAGGCTAGGTTCGAATACGCCAGCTCCGGTGTATGTGGCCAGCACCCTAACCACTAAGCATAGGCGCAGAGCCAGGAATCTCTTTCTAAAATGTGAGAAATACCAGCCTGAGCTAGAGTGAGATCCCATCTCTAAAAATAACTGGGCATTGTGGGGGGTGCCTGTAGTCCCAGCTACTGGGGAGGCTGACTCAAGAGAATTGTTTGAGCCCAAGAGTTTGAGGTTGCTGTGAGCTATGTCACCACGGCACTCTACTGAGGGTGACAAAGTGAGACTGTCTCAAAAAAAAAGGTGAGAAACAAGGCTTTTTAACCATGCTACTCTTATTAGTTAAAACTTCAGGCTGTGAGGGGCCCAGTGCTGAGGGAGTGTGAGAGCCTGGGACAGTGCTGCCACAGACCCATAGCACTCAAAAGCTTATAAGGTGTTTTTCAGAGATGTCAGTCATCTCACGCACTTTGCTTTGGGCACTGATCTTCAGGGACTCCCCAAGGCACCGAAGTAGGCCCTGTCCCACCCAGAGACACTGCCATACATGCTCCCCCTGACCTGCTGTCCTTCTGCCCCTGGACTTGTCTTACCCTTCCTCCTCCTTTAGGCCTCTTGTGTCTCCCATTGTGGCTCAGCTCACAGAGCACAAAGACCCCTCTGCCATGGTGCTGGCTCTAGGAAGCCAAAGGACACAGCAACCAGGCTTGGCAAACAGGAAAACCCAACCTGATCAGGACAGGGAGAGGGCATGGTATGGGGCACATGGAGACAGCCAGGAGCAAGGAGCAAAGGTATCTGAGGAGTGGAAAGGAAAGAAGGAAAAAATAGGAGGGAGAAGATGAAGGGAACTGGGGGTGGGTGGGGGCAAAAAGGTAATGATAACAATGAATAAATACTCGGGGGCTCACTCTGCGCCTGGCATCCTGCTAATCCTATTCTGTCGTCAGATGTCTCAACGCTATCCTCATGACATCCCTCAGAGTAGGTATGGGTATTCACCCCAAAAGGGAGGCAGGAGGGTGGCATGGTGGTGGTAGGTGGGTGAGGAGAACAGTGAGGTGACCCTTCTCTCCAGAACTGGCAGCCTCTCCCAGTTTAGTGGTGTGACCCTCCCAGAGGAGCGAAAAGTCAAGCTGACACTCGCTGTACAATGTAAAGTACTAAATCTAAACAGATGGTGTTCGCTGTAAAATTAAATTAGAATTAAGCCAGAATTGAATTAAAAATCCATACTTCCAGGCAAGAATGGCAATAGGAATTGGAAAGACAATTTTTAACCTTCATAATATTCTTTGCTTGACTTGTACTACCAGGATGAAGGCCTCTTGGTTTCTAGAAAAGCTTTTTCTTTTTTTTTTTTTTTTTTTTGAGACAGAGTCTCAAGCTGTCCCCCTG